TCTGGCTCTGTCAGGCTGCATGGAGGTGTCACAGCGCGTTCCTTGTTTCTTTGGCTGGTGCTGACAGCAGGGGTTGGAGGCCCACAGGCAAGGCCCGGCAGCCCCTACCTGTGCTGATCAAAGTGCTGGGTGACACACTGACCCTCTGAAGCGCAGGGGAAATGGAAGCTGCGCTCACAGCCCGTCTGTGCACAGGTGACGAAGGCCCCCCTCTTGCCACAAAGCAGAGCTGAAAAGAGCAGAGCAGCCCCCGTCAGCAGAGGCTCAGGGCCTACACAGCAGGCCCTGTACCTCTGGGCAGTGCACAAGGTGCGGGCAGGGCTGGGTGGCACTCTGCAGAGCTACCTGGTGAGCAGGGCTCATCTACAGAGCAGGAATTTCTCTTGGAGCTGGTTGCAATGGCTGCGTTGCTTTCCTTGGACCAGGCTAAGCTCGCCATGCCTCTCCTGGCACCAAGCTCCCTGTTCCGGTCTGGTACTCACTGTCTGCTCTGCTTGCCTCATGGTGCGTATCAGGTCTTCAACATAGAAAAGGCCTTTATTTTGTTTGTCTATCCCATGTTGACAAAGACCATTGGCAAATCCCTGTACATGAGGAAAGAACGCAGTCTTGTTAATGCAGAAAGGAGGGAAGTACTGGTTGGAGGAAGGTGGCAGGAGCTACAAGGGAACTCACCACATAAAACGCATGGAAACACATTCCATACATCTCGTATCTCTTGCCGAAGATGGATGTCTTGTTATCCACTCAGCCACAGAGCACACATGCTGGAAAGGAGAGAGTAACAGCAGTGAGCGCCTTGCAGGGCCAGGTGCCCCCGGGGGCTGTCCCAGGGGCTGCTCTGCACCAGCAATGCCAGCTGAGGGGCAGGGCCAGAGGCTGTGGAGGGGAAGGGGCGCTGCAGGCCCAGTGGTGCCAGCAGGCAGCCACAGCCCAACCAAGGCCCCACTGGCCAAGGAGCAGAGGGACCCTGCGTTCCCCCACCTCCCTCTCCACCACAGGCAGAGCCCAGCACCCCTCTGCCCCATGGTGGGAAGCTGTGCAGGGACACTTTGTTCTCACCCAGCTCGCTCAAGCCAGCAGCCTCCTGCGTTCCCTCGGACATTGCATGCATCAACAGCGAGCGCTCGCAGAGTGTCTGTCCCAGCAACACCGGGCTTTCTCCTCCGCATGCCAACCTATGGGAGAAGCAGGTTGAGGCTGAGTTCTCAGCTAAGGCCCCGAGCACTGGGGAACCCTCCTCCCTCGGCAGCCTCAGGCAGACCCATCCTCCCTGCTCACCTCTCCAAGTCGCACTGAGCTCGGCCTGAGCCCCGCAGCCTTAGCTCTGTTGCACAGCCAGGGGTCACAGTGGATTGCTCTGTGCCACCCCTGTGGAACCATCACGCACCACAGGGGCTGAGGGCACCCAGGCAAGAGGGCGGCGGCTCTTGCAGCCAGCACAGAGTGACACAGCCCCACTGGAGCCTGGCGTGTTGGGACTGCTGAAGGCACTGGGTGACACATTCACCCTCCTGGCCCCACTGAATGCTACCAGGCCTGTGGCTCCATCAGTACCCCAATTTAGCATTCATGTGTTGCCGTGACTTTTTGGCTGTTTGCTGCTGATTACCTCTCGCTACAATAAATGACTCAGTTCATAGAATCACAGCATCTTTATGTCTTTCCATTACATACTTGAGGCCTTACTCCTCCTGGCCCCAAAAGTAACGCCTCTCCTTTATTTCCACGGCAACAATAACAGGTATAGAGAGGACAATAACACTAGGTAATACAGCAAGTTGTCAGCTACAAAACACTATTTTTCAACACAATCCCCCCCATTAGCTGTGCATTCTCAGCAACGATGATCAACAGACTGCATGCTACGCTCAGAATGTGCGCACCAGCCGTGATGATGCACTGTTGCTGTTGCCACTGCTGAAACGCACCACCCACCATCTCACTGTGCTCACAACTGCAGCTTGGCCTCCATAAATGTTCAGCAAGCATCAGTGAATATCAGTAGGTGACTTTTTTCTGCATGCATGGGTTCAGTGACACATTGCATATGTTCCACACATGCTACTACACCTGTGGGGTCTGCTAGCATTGATAGAAGTACTTCTCTTTTGGCTGCACCTCACAGTGCAAGCAATCATGTTGCATCTTTTTTTTTTAAATCCAAGATTTCCAACTCTGAATTTATGGAGTGATAGATTTCCATGTTTGAAAAAAAAAACAATTGAAGAGGAGAGGTTCATTTGGAGGTCTGTAGCCTTGGAACTTGGCATGACTGAAGCATGGAGCTGCCATGTGGGGTTGTTAAAACTGTGTTCAGCATTCAAGGTGTAAAGGCTAACAGCACACTGGAAGTGACACTGGAGGGAGTGGCAGATACAGAAGATGACAAATCCAGTGCTGGGAATGTGCTCAAGGTCCCGTTTCTGTCTTTCTGACTGTTACTGACTTTCCCTGTCCCACACAAGAGAGGAAGCAAATGCTGCAGTAGTCCTTCAAAAACTTGTTGGTGGGGAATTTCAGGCAGGTGCCTGATATGAGGCAGGAACATTAAAAAGGGGCTGCTTGAAAAACAGCTGTGATCTGTGATCGCAGTGGGGAGCATAGCAGGGCCCAGAGCTCTGGGCTGCAACTCCTGACTGCCAACACCTTGATCTGCTGACTGCCTGGTACAAGAGGCAGGAGGGCAAGCTGAATAGTATGCCAAGAAAGAAATAAAAAAGACATGAGAATGATATTAGGTAATAAAGCACCAAGACCAGGTGGGTCAGCAGATGATTTTGGAGGATATTCTCAGATAAATTACATGCAATTTTAAGTGAGGTTTCTTAATGCACATTGGGAACGAGATGTTTTTCCCTAACTTAATTTATTCATCCAGGAAGGAAGACAAGGAAGTTCAGACTGTATAAATCTATTTCATTTTCTTGCATTGATTGCAATAACTTTAAAAACTATCACTATTAGATTAGGGGCCAACCTTACAGTGTTTGCTCAGGACCAGTTTGCTGGAAGCGACTGCTCAGTGGATCACAGCATAAAGAGAATGCATCACCTCTGCTGTAGCATTACAATTTGATCATATCTCAGCAGGGGATTCAGTTTATCTGAATAACCACACACTCATTTGCTCCTTCTCTCTGCAATTCCGAGCATAGAACTTGTCTTCTGTATCAGCCACTCTCTCCAGTGTCATTTCCAGTGTTAGCCTTGCAGCTTGAATGCTGAAAGCAGTTTCAACAACCCCACATGGCAGTTCCATGTTTCAGTCATGCTAAGTTCCATATCTACAAGGCTACAGGCCTGTGAGAGCTGCAGTGCCCTTCTCCAGTGCTGCTCTGTGAAACGCAGCACAGCTGCACTGTGCCTTGCACAATAACTAATGGTATACTGTTTAGAGGTTTCCATTTTGTGGACTGTGCCATCCAAACATAGACTTTTGTCTGAAGACATAATGTATGTGCACATGCCATTATGTGACAGATGTAGTTCTGATAATCCATAGGCCTTACAAAAGTCAGATAGAAGTCTAACCTGGACACATCCAGGGTTGAGTATTTCTACTCCACAGGGAGAAAGATGCAGTATGTGCAGAGCTGTTTCTCTGTTGTACTTGGCAGCAATCTCATCTGCAGATGGGGAGTGCTTTTTTGATGAGGTGTTTATATCCTTATGACCGGCTCCAAAATAACACTCAAAGTCCTCTGAAGCTTTATCTTTTTATTATTATTATTTTATATGATTATTGTGTTTGTGGCTTTATCAAAGATATTAACATTTTCAATTTTACTGCAGTAAGTTTGAAGTGAGAGCAACTCTATCACAGCCAGCAAAGTCTGTATGATCTCAGCAGGACTTTGTCTTCCCCTGAGGTTCTATACATGCCATGAATGTCACAGAAAAGTATACTGCGAGGTTTTCTAAACCTTAACAGGTATTTCTGAACTTTAACAGAAAATATTTCTTGTATGCCTCCTGTTGTTAAGACAGACTCTTAGTTTCTTAACAGTACTTCTCAAAGGCCTTGGAGCTAAATAAAAACTACCACTGCAATTTTAAGTGACCACAGTAAGACTTCCCCTTCTGCAGCAATTTGTGTCTGAGGACATCTCAACACATTAAGTCTTTAGGGAATTACATGTTTCTTCAAAAACCCAGGAGTCTATTTTTTAAGCAGTTTCTACTTTTACAAGACATCAGATCTCAACTCTAGGACAGGTTTGGGATAAAACAGACTCTAAGGCTAGGGTTATTCTGGAGGGAAAATTGTGTGTGAAAGAAGAAAAGAGCTTCTGTTGTTTATCAGTCCATTGGCAACTGTCTAGAGCTACTCATATTTCTTTGTGGTTATAGTTTCCAGGAGTCAATATGATAAAATACCTCTAGCACAATTTTTTTTGTTGTTGTTTTTTTTTTTAATCATTATTTTTTTCCTCTTTTCTCGGATTGTTGTGTTGTGTTTTCCTCAGTAGGTGGCAAACTTCACAAGCTGTAGCTGGTGGGATATGTTTGGCACTCCTGTGCAGTACAATTAAAAGCTTGCCTTGGACCTCATCCAAATAAAATTTTATTTATTTCATTTGCAGAAAGGATCCACTATTGTTCCTAATTCAATCATTTTCCTTTCTGAGCTGATCTGGGCTATAGCCACTGTAGTGGAGTATTTACTTTCCGTGCACGGTGTTTTTTGAGCTTGATGAACAAACAAGGGAAAATGACCTTCAGCCATTGAAAACAAAAACCTCACATCAGCTCCATCCATGAGACACAAGCCTGGTTTGTTGATACTACAGAATTGTTATTAGTAACATAAGAAAAGAGCACCACCTTTTTTTTTTTATTTATTTAATATTCCTTGGTGCTGCTATTTGTTTATTATCATCATTAAGTGTGGGCAGAGCTCTTGGCACAACACCAAGAGAAGGGTGACCTTCAAGAAAGCTTAAGAGCTCCCTCCAACATATAACTAAAATGATTCCTGAGTTTAGCAACCACATAATCTAATTTCCAGTATGCAAACAAAGTGAGCAGCTGAGCGTTATACAAAGCAGGACTGGCTGTGAGACTTCAGCATATTTTCTTTTCTCCCCTGGACTGGTGGCACTCAACTTCGGTGGATCTTGCAAGGGAAACAAGACAAATTAAATACATTTAATTTGCAGAGTATTTATTATACAGAACTGTAGAACTTCTCACAGTAAGAAGAGGGAGAGAAGAATACCGGAGAAACAAATATGGAGAACAAAAGGTAGGTTTTTAACAGCAGATTCAAGAAGAACTGGGAAGTAATTGGGATGACAATTCAGCTGAAACAGTTTTTGCAGCTGTTTGTTAGGTTTATTTTTAAAGATACTGAATTTAGACAAAGAACAAAGCCCCTTTATTAAACAGCAAGTAAATCCTGTAGGGGAGTGTTTCTTGTGAAGGAGGGGTTGCATGCTTGTTAACAAAAATGAAGCATGCTGGCAGGGAAGAGTGAGACCAGTTGGACTGTTAGGATTCTGTGGTTTGAATGGGGATATGCTCCTCTGAGTATCATGACTATAAGTCGTGCATCCAGGTGCAGGTTGTTTGACTGTTCTGTGCCTCTGTTTATTTGCACTGCCTGCCACAAGGTCTAGAAACAATAGTAGGCTTGTTTTAAAATCTAACATCTGTTCGTTGAGCTTGATGGTCAAATTCTGCAGGATTCATTTAATCTGGTGAAACCATATTGGCTTGCTGTGAAAGAACTATGTTAATTCTCATAATCCTTGGACCAAATCTTTATTCTCATTTGGACCATTTCCTTGGATTTTATCATTTCATCTCCCATCTGCATCCTCTACAAATCTGCTAATATGGTCACTTGGTATGATCATTTTCTCAATGATTTTTTCCCTTTTCTTATCTTCTCACTTCTGCTATCCATATCCTCTTGATCTGCATCTCCCCATCAAATTTGTTCCGCCTGTCTGACCTTGTGTTCTTCCTAATCCTACTGGTCTCCAAGGTTTAAAGCGAGATTTCCTCTTACTGTGCTGATCCTATTGCTTCCTTCTCGTTTTATCCATGTGGTCTCTGCATGCATGCACCTCAGGTTTTCATTCATGCCCCCTGTTTCTGATAGCAGCCATCTCTCCTTGGGGCAAGGTGGCTCCTAAGAAAGCTAATCAAAACAGGAGGAACTTGTAGTCTTCTTGGGCACAGTCATAATAAACACTGGAGCTGAAATGAGAGACTCAGGTAGTCAAGACTTTCAGTAATAGATGGCCCAGATTAGAGAAACTTTACTGAATGTGGGAATCTAAATCTAGAGCAGCACTAGGAGGAAAATATTCCTCTCCTTATCCACAGAGAATGGAAAAAATGTGCTGAAATGGTGGTGCTTCAGGTCTGCTTCTGGCTAGCATTGTAAGAAGAAAAAAAAAAACTTGAACCTTAGCTGAGGGAAAAGCACAAAGCAGAGGTGGTTCCTCCATACAATATTTTATCTGATCTGCAAGTAGCTGGGACACCAAAATAGGTGGGAAACTGTGACGTTCTGGGTAAGTCCTTGCAAATTGTTGAGGAAGAAGACTGAAGAAGGGGATCCACCCCCTCTAACATGGCTGATGCAGTCAGTTTGTGAGGGGAGATGATGAAGCTAACTAGAGGCATGAGGAGAAGCACCATGGAAGGGAGACAGTTGAAAAAAAATGCAATTTGGGATGAAATACAGGGAAGGGTGGAAGCAGAGTGAGGCACATGTGGCCAGCTGAGTGCAGAGAGCTGGCAAGGATGCACACCCATTGTGGAGAACACGCTGAGGAGAAATGTCCCCTTTGGGAAGTTGAGCAGAAAGTATCTTCGGAAATATAGTATGATACACAGGGTGGAAGAAGATGGTAAAGATGGCAGGAGCAGGAGAGAAACTAAAAAGCTTAAAATGTTTGCCTCAGGCTTTAGCTCAAGCATTGTTACCTGGCCATTGACGCTCTGCCAAAAGAGCTCTGTTTCTTTTCCTAGACTCAAAGGAAGATGGTGACCTCACAATTGCTTGCTGGTGTAGCCGAAAGCCTGGCCCCTAAAGTCCTCTGAGATAGCCATGGTGACACAAGGCATGCAGGGCTCAGCTCAACTACCTCCATCACAGTAGTTGCATCAGGCTGTGCATGTGGTGCGAAGCAGTGGGTTGAAGGGAGGTGAGGAGGTCCTGTGCAAACACTTCAGTCATGGCACAGCAGTACATCTGAGCACTGATGGCCCATGTCCCCTGCTGTGTGGGAGTGCTGGGCTCTAGAGGTCTACTTTTGCCTCCTTTCACATACAACTGCTTGATGGACTCTAAAAGTCTAAGAAATGAGAGAGAAATCCTCTTGGGAGATTATTGTTGGTAAAAGTACTGTTGCATTTTTGTGCCTTTGCTGAACAGAGGGTGATTTTTTTTCCCAAATATTAGCCAACAATACAAAATGGCCATTCTGAGTCCAATTCAGGTGTCTGCTCAGTTGCATGGCCTCCAAACCATCTTCATCAGTAGTGTGCATCAGCTGGCCCAGTCTATGCATCTAGAGAGTATCTTGTTGAGGAATGCCATTTCAAGAAAAGTGTTTTAAAGCATTCCTGAAGATGGCAACATGGGTCCAAATACACTGCAAGAGGAAAATAGTTACTTTTCCCCTTTATATGACCAAAAAGCTAACAAAGGAACAATGACAATCAATAATGGAGTAAGTATCATAAAGACATGGGGTACTAGTGAGAAGGAAAAGAAAAAGGAACATAAAAGTTTAATGTGCTGAGACAACCAGTACCTTACAGAGAGCAGATTGGCTGGGTCTCCCAGTGCATGTCACACTGACTTTTACAGATCCAGTCCCCTGCTTCCCCAACCTGTGCCTGGCAGTGGAACAAATTGAAGCAGTATTCACTGCCTTACCAGGTCAGGATCAGCTCCCTTTCTATCCTGTCATAGGTAAGTTGGGTTGTTTACCACATTTGAGAAAGTTTCAGATAAGATGAGTGTTTGACTCCATTCTGAGCAACCTGGCAGGTTCTTCAGGATGGCAAAACTGAGACTGAAACTTAGCTGAAGCTAAATCATTCAGTTGCTTTTCTGTGCAGACTGATGAATTGTTTAGGAGATGCATTTGAGGTATTTGGAGACTCCTGACAACTTTTGAGTTTGGAGAGCCCAAACTCAAGGCATTTCTCACTCTGCTATGCAAGTGGAAGTTGCAGAAAGTTTCACTCCTGAGGACTGAAGTTCCAGTGGCAGGCAAGGAGTTTTATTGCTAGTGAACCTCTTTCAGCGAGATGATGGCAAACTTGTGATAACAGTGCATCAGTTCTTCCCAGAGATGCATGCAGGCATGTCAAGAACAGCAAATCATGTGAAAACAAGAGGAACACACACACACACACATACACACACACACACAAAATGACCACCATTCTGATTTGCATGAAATACGGTAAAAATTAAAATGAGAAGGCATATGGATCAGTTTCAATTATTCCATCGCTGGACTTCTGGGATGAAGTTCAGCAAGAACAAGTGCTTGGTCCTGCACTGTGGCCACAACAACCCCAGGCAGTGCTACAGGCTTGGAGCACAGTGTCTGTCTGGAAGACTGTAGAAGTGGACTTGGGGGTATTGGTCAGTTTTGGGCCCCTCACTACAAGAAAGACATTGAAGCCCTGGAGCGTGTCCAGAGAAGGGCAACGAAACTGGTGAGGGGTCTGGAGCACAAGACTAATGAGGAGCAGCTGAGGGAGCTGGGATTGTTCAGTCTGGAGAAGAAGAGGCTCAGGGATGACCTTATACTCTCTTCAACTTCCTGAAGGGAGGTTGTGGTGAGGTGGGAGTTGGCCTTTTCTCCCATGTAACTAGCAGTAGAGCTAGAGGGAATGTCCTCAGGGGAGTTGCACCAGGGGAGATTCAGGCTAGACATTACGAAATACTACTTGTCTGAAAGAGTGGTCAGGTGCTGGAATGGGCTGTCCAGGGAGGCAGGGAGTCACCATAACTGGAGGTGTTCAAGAAAGGTTTAAATGTTGTACTGAGGAAATGGTCAGACTGCATGATTTTAGCAGTCTTTTCCAACTTTAGTGATTCTATGATTCTGTGATTCTATAGCTGTCAAAGAGGGATCTTTTCATGTTTGCACCTTGGCTGTCCTTCATGGAGTTACTATCTGAGTTGACTCGAACAACAGGATTATTTTTGGATCATTCCCCTTGGACATTCTAGTGCATCAGTAGGACAATAGCTACAGAAGCTCTTTCCCTGGGTAATCTACATAGTTTTATGTAAGTTCTCAGAAATGAGGCAGAGGAATCTGGAATATACAATCATCTCATTTCCACAATGAGAAGCAAGCCTTGCTTCCAGAGATCAAAAGTGGCCCACTGTCCAACCTATTCATAGGCTTTGCCTACTGAATGTTTCCTTCTTGCCATTTTACAGGAGCAAAGGTTAAGTGTTATTAAAGTGCAGGGGAGCTCGGGGGACTGGAATACTGATCTTAGATAGAGTCTGGAGTTCTTCCACCTCTCTTTAGTCAGCAGTTGCACTGGGGCAAGTTATTTCTTGCATTTCTTTTCCTTTATTTGTCAAATCAGGTTACTTGTTATCTCTCTGTAGTCTTACTTTTTGAAATATTTTATGCAAACTAAAGATATATTTTCTTTGTTTAGGACAATCATATCTACATACAGAGATTTACTCCTCTCGTATTTCACAAATCAGAGTAAATTAATATATTATTCAGAACAACTGATTCCTCTCTCACAAAACAAACAAACAAACAAACAAACAAAACAACCAGAAAGTGCCCCTTCTTTTCATGACATAAATCTTTCATAAAAGGTTCCATGGTACAGAATAGAGATGAGTTTTCTTACTGTGAAATAATTAGCTTAGGATGGCCCAGTTTCTGGTTTAGCTGTATGCTAACAGAATAGTAAGGATGAGTTCCTTAAGAAACTCTTAACTCACCATCATTCTAGGGACTCCATTTCCAGCACTTAACATCTTTTCTCCTGTTCTAAATCCAGGATTTATCCTTCTTTCTAATGATTTCTTTTCCACTTCAATGCACAAGGAATGGAATGTAGGAAAAAATGACCTGAATTGTTCAGGTACTTAGTGGACTCTCCAGGTTCTTGACATTATTCTTGACTGTATTAGTCTTTCCCTCATGTAAACTTTTGTTGCTTGCAGAAATGAGTGGGTGTTTTACCTGTTCTGGTTGTTAACTTTGGCACCTGGTGATGGTGAACAAG